TCATGGTGCGATTCTGGTCGGGCCATATGCCCGGGTTGTGGGCTCAATTCCTAATGTGAGGCATGCAGGAGACAGCTCATCAATGATTCTCTCTCATCATTGATGTTTCTATCTCTCCCTTCCTCTCTGAAATCAATAAAAACATATTTTAAAAATTTTAACTTATGCAATAGTACATCAGTATACATTCAATGTACATTCAGTGATTTGTTTATATCTTGTTTTTATTGTTATTAGATCACCCCTGTATTCCGGTACTGCCAATTTTGTACATTGATTTGCTTTTTTTGGGTGAGAAGCAGTCTCTCCATAATTAAATTAGACCATGTAATGTACTAGGTGTACTGGTTAATAATGGCAGATTTTGTAATCAAAGAAACACGATAATTTCAAGAGAGACATCAAAAGTGCTTTATTCAGCCCTAGCTGGTTTGGTTCAGTGGATAGAGCTTCGGCCTGTGGACTGAAAGGTCCCGGGTTCAATTCCGGTCAAGGGCACATGCCTGGGTTGCGGGCTCCATGCAGGAGGCAGCCGATCAATGATTCTCTCTCATCATTGATGTTTCTCTCTCTCTCTCACTCTTTCCTCCTCTCTGAAATCAATAAAAATATATAGATTTTTAAAAAGTGCTTTATTCAAAGTAATGTCCATTCCTAGCTACACATTTCCCTCATCTTTCAGGTAATTTGTGGATACTGTCTCAATAGAACTTTCCTTGTTTGAGGCAAACCATTCAGAGACCCAATTTTCCACTTCTTCGTATGTATTGAAGTGCTGCTCAGAAAGTGCGTATGCCATCCATTGGAACAAGTGGTAATCTGAAGGAGCAAGGTCTGGTGAATACAACGGGTGGGTTAATACTTCCCAGGCAAGATCTTTTAACATGTCTTTAACTGGTTTTGAAGTGTGTGATGGTGCGTCGTAATGAAGCAAAATTACTTTGTCGTGTCTTCTGGCACATTCTGGTCATTTCACGATCAAAGCGTGGTTCAAATTAATTATTTGTTGTCATCGGTAGCGATCAGTATTAATGGTTTCACCTGGCTTTAGAAGCGCATGATACACCACACCTTCCTGATCCCACCAAATACAGAGCATTGTCTTCTTTCTGAAGCGATTTGGCCTTGCATTTAATGTTGATGGTTAACCTGGATCAACCCATGATTTTGTGCGTTTGGGGTTCTCAGAATAAATTAAATTCACTTTTCATCGCCAGTCACAGTTTGATGCAAAAAAGACTTTCTTTTGTGCCATTGAAGCAACATTTACTGATGACTTTTTGGTTTTCCATTTGTCTTTCGTTCAGTTGATGTGGCACCCATTTTCCTTCCTTTAAAATCTTTCCTTTTGCTTGTAAACGATCGGAAATTGTTTGCTGAGCAACGTCTGCAAGTTGTTTTTGAGTTTGACACGCATCTTTATATAATAATGCTTGTAATTGTTGGTCTTCAAACTTTTTTGGTTGACCTGGACATTCTTTGTCTTTCACATCAAAATCATCACTTTTAAAATGTTTAAACCAGCCTTCACAAGTATCTTGAGATGGAGCATGTTCACCATAAGTTTCCCGAAGTATACGATAACTTTTACTTCAAAATAATGAATTAAAACTTCCTGCAAATGCTCTTTTTTTGGCATGAAATTCGACATTTTTAAGCTTAAAAATATCTATGATGTTAACACCTTCAGCAAATTTGACATATGAAGTTTTGAAGCTTGCTGTCAATACAACAAAATAGCGTACATATCAGAATCGCACTATATCAACATATGTGTAACTCCATCTACTGAAAAAAATCTGCATTATTAACTGGTACACCTAGTACATACATAGTGGATTTTTGCCATGTTCCTTTTTCATTTTGATTTATATTATTAATTTTGTCAGTGTATTACATACACTGTCCCAGTTAATAGAAACCTGTAGACAGTTCAAATAATCACTACCATCAAATTAGTCTTACCCTATTGTGACCTTTGTCAGAGTGTATGAGATCCTAAATGCTTTAACTTGGTGACAATTAAGGCTTAGAAAAGTGAGGCTTAAATAACTAGGAATTGTTAAATAACAAAGAGCGATGGTTTTCTGGGTTGTCCATTGTGTTTGGTTCTCAATCCCCAAATTTATTACTAACAGTCATATTTTGGTGATTTAGACATAGTGGTAGTGATGGTTTTTAGCTATCATTTTGAGCTAACTGGCCTTCAGGTTGGAAGAATCATTAAAGACAATAAAATCCCTGAATATATTTACTAGAATTGCTCAATGGAGAAGGATCTCAATTTAAATGGAAGCTGCCATGGGGAATATCTAAGCGTTCACTTTGTGATTCAGGACTCGTATTTAAAACCTGGGTTTGCTCATTTTTCCTGGACTAGCTTATTTACCACTGTATCCTCGGTGCCTGGAATAGTGCCTGCTAAGGCTTGAAAAATGTAGTAAAGAAGTGCTCTTTCTCCTCTGTCCATGTTGTGCCTCTTGATATATTTATTGGTGGACCCACAAACCCTCTATTAGATGTTAATTTCATTTCATTTAGAGGATGATTTTCTACTTCTTTAAAGTGCCCCTTCCGATTGAATTTTATATATATCAGTACTCTGGATTTTAAATAAGATTGTCTCAGATATATTTCCTAAATACAATAAAAATTCTACCTAGCTATTTTTATACATGATAAGACAAACTATTTTTATAAATTGGGAGATTTGAAGAATAATTCTTTAAGAAAACTTGATTTTTCTTTTACCTACACTTACTCTAATTGAACTGATCACAATACATTGATTTTATAGTGTTATAAGTATAAAGAAGGGGCTCTGAAATACTAAGTAATATCTAAAAACTAGATTAGAGAATTAGATTACTGTGTGAGTACATAAAATTTAGGGTAGTTCATTCAGTTTTTTATTTTCTTTCTCTCTTTTTTTAAACATGCTTCTAAAGAACACAAAATAAAAATAATATTAACTTATTTCTTGATTATATGTATTAGTTAAGGGCATTAGATTACTAAATAGTTTATTTACATTGTAAATATCAGCTATTCTAAGATTATTGGTGACTAATATTTAATCTTGTAGGTTACCTCAGGTTGGTTTGGTATCTTTTGACACTTTATGAAATCATCTGTCATACCTTTTTCAGATTATAGCTTTTTTTGTAAATTAGAATCTTTTTAAAAAAAATTAAATTTATTGCCGAAACCGGTTTGGCTCAGTGGATAGAGCGTCGGCCTGCGGACTGAAGGGTCCCAGGTTCGATTCCGGTCAAGGGCATGTACCTTAGTTGCGGGCACATCCCCAGTAGGAGGTGTGCAGGAGGCAGCTGATCGATGTTTCTCTCTCATCGATGTTTCTAACTCTCTATCTCTCTCCCTTCCTCTCTGTAAAAAATCAATAAAATATATTTAAAAAAATAAAAAATAAAAAAAATTAAATTTATTGCAGTGACATTGGTCAATATGAACATACAGGTTTAAGGTGTGGGTTTCTGTGTTACAAGGTCTGTATATAGCGCCATGTGCCCACCACCCAAAGTCAAATCTCTTGTCACCGTCTCCCTTCATCCCCCAAACCCTTCCCTCTGACAACCACCACAGTGCTGTTTGTGTTCACGAGTTTCAGTTTTATATCCCACATATGAGTGAAATCATATGGTTCTTAGCTTTTTCTGACTGACTCATTTCCCTTAGCATAATGTTCTCAAGGTCCATCTACATTGTTGCAAATGGCACTATTTCATCCTTTCTTATGGCTGAGTAGGAGTATTCCATCTTATATATGCACCACACCTTTATTTTACTTTAAGGGAAAATTAAAATTATAGTCTTCTAGAGAAGTTATATGTTTTGTTTTTTTAAAATATATTTTTATTAATTTTAGAGAGTCGGAGAGGAAGAGAGAGAAACATCAATGATAAGAGAATCATTGATCGACTGCTTTCTGCACACCCCCTACAGATGATTGAGCTTGCATCCTGGGCATGTGCCCTGACCGACCAGGAATCGAACCACGACCTAGAGGTTGATGCTTAACCACTGGACCACACTGGCCAGGCAGAGAAGTTATATGTTAATATTTGAAATTTAATAAAATTAGTATCAAAATCTGGTGGGTGGCTGGTAGAGACTGGGTAAATTTAAAAATAGTGCTTCCCTAGCCAGTTTGTCTCGGTGGATAGAGCATCGGCCTGTGGACTGAAGGGTCCTGGATTAAATTCTGGCCAAGGGCATGTGCCTGGGTTGCAAGTTTGATCCTTCCGGCCCTGGGGGTGCATGCAGAAGGCAACCAGTCAACGTGTCTCTCACATCAATATTTCTCTTGTTCCTTTTCTCCCCCTCCTTTCTGTTCTCTCTAAAAATCAATGGAAAAATATCCTCGAGTGAGGATTAACAAAAAAACTAAAAAATAAATAAAAATAGTGCTGAAAACTATCCTATATAACAAAAGGCTAATATGCAAATAGACCACACAGTGGAATGACTGATCACTATCATGCACACTAACCACCAGGGGGCAGATGCTCAACGCAGGAGCTGGCCCCTCGTGGTCAGTGTGCTCCCACAGGGGGAGCGCCACTCAGCCAGAAGCCAGGCTCACAACTGGCAAGCCTGCCCTGCCTCTGCAGCAGCGCTAAGGATGTCCAACTGACAGCTTAGGCCCGCTCCCCTAAGCCGTCAGTTGGACATTCCCCGAGGGCTCCTGGACTGCTAGAGGGCGCACGCCAGGCTGAGGACACACATACACACACCCACCTCTACACCCCTCCAGTGCACGAATTTCATGCACTGGGCCTCTAGCTAAAGATAACTTAAAATGCATAAAATACTATCTATTTTTGGGATTGATTTTCATAGTAGGTTGAAAATATCACCTACTATTCATATTAGCATCATAATAAACCTCATCTTTGAAAGTGTGTTATATTGCAAGTAATAACTTAGAAGTAATTTAAATTCTAAATGAAAGAAATAATCTTTTTTCTCTTTTTCCTTAGGTGGAATGAATCTTACTTGCTGAATATCTCCTGGTTACTGGTTGAATTCACTTATAAAAGAATCATCTTCCCCTGCGTGGAAGTCACTTAGTGGAATATTTAATTACAAATCCAGGGATTGCAAAGCCTTTTGATTTCCCAAAGGAAGGGGACATACCACTATATCAAATAAGCTTGACATTACAGCCAAAATGGTGCTGTCCCAAAGACAACGAGATGAACTGTAAGTTTCTCTGGTGTGTGTGTGTGTGTGTGTGTGTGTGTGTGTGTGTGTTAAAATATTCTCTCATAAAGGACAAGGTAGTAAATTAAAATACAGCTTTAGGAGATCTGTTTTTATATTAAAACTGTTAGGAGTGTTTAAATATTGATGTGGGCATTTGGGTCTGATTTTAAAACTGAGTCTGCCTTTGATATAGCACTATTTACTTTTGTGACCTTATTGTGTATAAATTTAAAGCAAATCAAGTTAGTTGGGATAAGTTTTATCTCAAGTTTGTCTTAATATATAATTATGTTCATTTGGAAGATAGGTGCTTCAAAACACTTCTAAATTATTTTGTCTAGATATATGTATTAGAATAGAAAAATGAAAGCTTTTTTGTTGTTGTTACTGCTAATGCCTTTCCTTTGCCTTATGTATTTTTTATCATCCTTTGGCTCTTATAGGATTTGAACTTTATGAGGTGGCTAACGTAATAGTTAATGCAAATGCATTAACTAGATAGGCATGAAAATGATTTGATCATTGCTATATAGGATTTTATGGCATTCTATTTTTTGTAGGTGAAGGATATAGTGGAAAATATTTAGTTTTGTGTTCTAGGCTTTTAAAATTTTCTGTGGCTTTTTAAACTGTATAATTGGGAATAATTTCAAATTTATAGATTAGTACAAAGAATATTTATATACATTTTATCCAAATTCACCTATTGGTAACATTTTGTATCATTTTGCACTCTGTAGCTGTGTGTGTGTGTGTGTGTGTGTGTTGTGTGTGGGGGGTTGTGTAGACAGAGTAAATTGCATACATCAAGGACCTTTCTCTGAGATACTTTAGTACACAGTTCCTAAGAATAAGGATATTCTTATATAAAACCAAGTACAGTTAGCAATTTCAGTAAATTTAAAACATTGAAACAATACTTTTATTTAACCTATCTTCCATACTCGAATTTTGTCAGTTGACCCAATATAGTCCTTTATGGCAATATTTTAATCCTCTCTAGTACACCATCCAGTCCAGGATTAGGTATTGTGGTCAGTTGTCATAAGTGTCATTTAATCTGAAACATTTCCTCAACCTTTCTTGCTTTGAAGACAATTAGATAAAAATATGTAGGTTTTTTTTTTTTAATAATCCTCACCCGAGGATATTTTTCCATTGATTTTTAGAGAGAATGGAAGAGAGGAGGAAAGAGAAATATCAATGTGAGAGAAACACATCAATTGGTTGCCTCCTGCAGGCACCCCAACCAGGGCCCAGCCAGGGAGGAGCCTGCAACCGAGGTACATGCCCTTGACTGGAATCGAACCTGGAACCATTGAGTCTGGAGGCTGATGCTCTGTCCACTGAACTAAACTGGCTAGGCCTCAACACTTTTATTCTTTCTACAGTTGCTAGTCAGCACTAAGCATTTTACTGTATTCAAGAGATCTTTTTCTCCTTTTTGTTGACTTTTCATTATTTGTATGAACTCATGGGTTCTTATATTTTCAATAGTTTCATCATTCACTACTATACTTACTGTTTTGATGTGTGAATTGTTCTAGGTTGTCCTCTCGGATAGCGGTCGCCAACCGGTGGTCCGCAGACCACTGGTGGTTCGTGAAGTCCGAAAGATTGGCGACCCCTGGTTTAAGGGAAATCTTTGGAGCAGCGATCTGAAAGGTTGGCGACCGCTGCTCTAGGAGACTCTTCCGTTGGCTCTTACATATGCCCCTATCATTTTTTATTGCACTTTCTTACTTTCTGGCATTATAAGATGTTCCAGGCTTGTTGTGTACCAATCCTGCCTTAAACCTAGAATCAACCATTTCTCCATCAAGCCCTGGTTCCTCTTAGTGGGGAATGGTATTAGAGATCAAGATACGGGCATTGCCCTAGCCGGTTTAGCTCAGTGGATAGAAGGCCTGTGGACCAAAGGGTCCTGAATTTGATTCCAGTCAAGGGCACATACCTTGGTTGCAGGCTCCTCCATGGCCCAGGCCCTGGATGGGATGCATGCAGGAGACCAATTGATGTGTTTCTCTCACATCAGTGTTTCTGTCTGTCTTTCCTTCTCTTCCACTCTTTCTAAAAGATCAATGAAAAAAATCTTCGTTGCTACTTATTTCTACTGGGTTGTCTTTGTTTCTAGATCCTTTGAGTAAACAGAACTAGGAAATACATGGATATATAAACATATGCACAGACACTTGGTGTATATATATATGTACTAAGATTTCTCAGTCTTGACACTGTTGACAATTTAGGCTAAATAATTCTTTGCTGTGGGGCCTGTCATGTACACTGTTGGTTGTTTAGCAACATTCCTGGCCTCTACCCACTAGATGCTGCAATCAACAATGTCTCCAGATGTTGCCACTGTCCTCTGGGGGAGATGGGGGCAAAATTTCCTCCAGTTGAGAACTGGTGTATAGGTACACACACACACTCACACACGTATACATACATGCACACATATTTATTTTAGAAATCATTAGGCTACACTGATACTTCTAATTCCAGTCTATTTTCACAAGTTTCTTTCTTGTCTTTCCCTCTGTAGTACTTATTTTTCTCTTTTTATAGTGAGACCCTGACTCTCAACTCATTTGCTCAGTCCTATAATACTTCTAAAATAGTTTCAGAATTATTATGTTCATACCACTTAAAAAAACGAACAAACCCTGAAAAGGGTTCACAATTTGTACAGTTTTCCCTCCATCTACCCTGCCCAAGACAGAGAGTATATAATCAAATACAAGCAGGTCCTCCAATAAGGTCATTTTGTTCAGAAGCATCTCTTTTCATTACAATGTTGATGAAATGTCATAGGAACTTGACTTTTGTTTTATATTCATTGGCCTATGGTAAAATTGGTTTCATTATCTGTCATTTCATTGCAGTTCCAAAGAACCTATTGATTATGTGAAGTGAGGGCTTACTGTACTGTTATTGCAAATTACTTGGATTAGTTTTATTTTGTGTTTTCCCTCTTCGTGTGGTTATATTATTCATTTAAAATACATTTGGGTTCATCTGTTCTAGTTTTTCAGTTTTCTGCATCCTTCCCTTCCCATCCTTGTTAACAATATAATATTTTGAATATGCATAAGATTATCCAAAAAGTTATACGCAGAAGTTTTATTCTCTTCAGAATCCCTTCTAAGTTACCCATCCTTACCTCTTATAGGAACCAACCTTATAAGAGAGATATATGTATGTTTTCTGGTTCCTCCTTTCTTAATAAAAAGGTAGCATGCTATTTGTGTTCTTTTGTACTTTTACTCTTTTTCACTTAACATCTGTTGGAACTCACCCCATACCATTGATGTCCTCCTGTTTTTTCTTTTAATAGGCGTGTGTGTGTGTGTGATAAAATTGGTCAGGGAGGAAGGAGAAAACTTATGTGGATCATTAGCTATAGAGGAAATTGTAAGATAGTTACAGACTTGAAATCTAGACAGTTTTCAAACCTAGACTCTAATTATGTTGAATCTTTAATTACTGGTAACTTTCCAGATTATATGTCCTCTTCCAGAATAGAAAGAGATGGAAAATTTAGGATCTCATTTTATGAAGCTAGAATAACCCTGATAGCAACACTAGGCAAGAAGAAAATAATAAAATATTATAATAAGCTAATTTTAATATGAACTCAGATATAAAGATATTGAATAATATAACAAATTGAAAAGAATCAACAGTTAGAATGATTGAATTTAGTGTGGTGACCAGAAACAAGATGGCATACAATAATGAATTATTTCTGTTATTGAATAATGTAGTAGAAAATATTTATTTGCCTTTTTATGGTGAAAAAAAAGTGAATAATTGAAAGATTACATAAATCTCAAATTATTAATAAAATTAAATACAACCCCATTCAAAATTTAAACAGAATTTTCCATAAATTTGACCGACTTAATTCTAAAATTCATCTGGGTGAGAAAAATAGTTGAAAAAATTTTTTTAAAGGATTAATAAGAAAGGAACTGCCAGGCTGGCATGGCTCAGTGGTTGAGCGTTGGCCTGTGAACCAGGAGATCACATTTGATTCCCAGTCAGGGCACATGCCTGGGTTGTGGGCTCAATCCCCAGCGTGGGGCATGCAGGAGACAGCTGGTCAATGATTCTCTCTCATCATTGATGTTTCTCTCTCCCCTTCTCCCTTCCTCTCTGAAATCAATTAAAAAAATATTTTTAAAAGAAAGGAAATGATTGTACCAAATATTCAAACATTACTGTAAGGTAATAAATAAAATACTGTGGGATAGGCAAATAAAGTTCACATCAGTAGAGAAAAGGTGAGCTGTTTGGCAAAGTATTAGTATAACAGATTGTACTAAAAATAAACTTGAATCCAGATGAAACTTTTTAAAAAATTTTTATTGTTGAAAGTATTACATATGTCCTTCCCTTTCCCCCCATTGACCCTTTCTAGCCCATCTTCACCCCAGTCCCTCACCACCCCACTGTGTGTCCATGGGTTATGCATAAATGCATACAAGGTCTTTGGTTGATTACCTTCCACCCACCCACCCTTCCCGGCCTTCCCTCTAAGATTCCCCACTCTGTTCCATGCTCCCATGTCTCTGGGTCCACTTCGTTCATCAATTTATTTTGTTAGTTAGATTCTACATATGAGTGAGATCGTGTGATATTTGTCTTTCTCTGACTTATTTCACTTAGCATGATATTCTCCAGGTCCTTCCATGCTGCCTCAAAGGGTAAGAGATTCTTTTTTTTTTACTGCTACTTAGTATTCCATGGTATAAATGTACCACAGCTTTTTTATCCACTCATCTACTGATGGACACTTGGCCTGTTTCCAGATCTTAGCTATTGTAAATTGTGCTGCTATGAACATAGGTGTGCATGCATTATTTCTGATTGGTATTTTGGGTTTCTTAGGATATATTCCTGGAAGTGGGATCACTGGGTCAAATGGCAGTTCCGTATTTAATTTTTTTACTCCATACTGTTTTCCATAATGACTGCAGCAGTCTGCATTCCCA